ATAGCTGCACCCTAAAAAGAGTTAAAGTTAGGGTAGGTAAGAATGGAGAAACCAGCTCGAGTGCGCTAGAATTTGAAAGTACGCAGCCGAAAAAAATCAGCCCCTTCCTTCAGACTTCCTTACAGAGCCCCTCCTCCAACACACACGAACACACGCACATGACCAATGAGGGCACGAGATAAGTTTGTGCACAGATGGAAGGGCCTACCTGGCTGACAGGCAGGTAGGCCATCCAGTTATTTGCCGCGGGCCGGCTCAGATGATTGGTCGTGCTTTTTACAGCGCCACGGCTTCCACAGATGATATTTTTTTATGTATTTATTGTCAAAGCATTTAATATATTCATTGCTATCGGGATGTTAAGAGCATTCCATGGAATATAACAACAAGTGTTTCTGAAGTGAATTACCTACCCCACCTTTAACTGATTGAATTATGACTGAAGATCGTCAGCTGTCTTCCTCTTCTGTTTTTTTGCCTTGATACGTAAAGGCTGCAGCACCTTTGATAACTTCTCTCTACATATCAAACATACCGGTAAGCCAGAATCGTTTGCTGTGAAAGCATATAACTCTAACCACGCAGAATTAAACCCTCTGTGTTCCTCCGATACCTTTATTTTCTTTGATTTATCCATAGCTCGCTCATAGAGCCGGGGGTCAGGTTATTCGCCTGCAAGAAAAGGCGCTGACGCGGGACCGTAGCAGGATATGACACATATTTTAGTTGACCTAATTAAAACTGTTTTATTTATGTTTCACAGTATCACCTCAAAATACAAGATACGAAACATTTTCAACCATGCAAGACAATTTAAATAGTCCTACAAATACTTTGATTTTATTTCCTTGTTATTTTTGTCTAAGCTCAAGGGAGCCAGAGCAGAGGGCTTAAAGAGCCGCGGGTTGCATTTGAATTCATTTTATTTCTCTAAAGTCCCACCTTGTGACCCAACACCAGAGAGGATTTCCCCAAATTAAATCAGGACATTTTGACCACCTGACACAGCCTGACTGATCAGGGGTTAATATGGTCTTGGGTGAAAAGGTCAAATATGTTGATCCCAGAAAGAAACTCAATTACCTTGTTTTTTGGGTTTTGGAATTCCTGGAAAAATTAGCTTATTTTAAATGAATCATATATTTTTTGCTTTCTAATGACAAAACCCTGACTTAGAGAGTTGTTTTGTATGTAATGTATACATTTATCAAAATATATTTAAGACGGCAATGTAATTTGAATTCTCCAGGGTCAGATATTTTTTTTATTAGGATGAAAGCCACGATTAATTGATATTTTATAGCTGACCAGAGATGATAATTAACCAATTTTAACACATTTTTACCATAGTGAAAGTGACAGAAGGATAGGACGATGAGATACTGAAGTAATGCGGCTTAAATTGGATTTTAAATATGTATCATGTTTTTACAAAAGGACGTTTCGTAAATGTTTGCTTTGTGTTTTTTCTTGTGTGTGTCATGTGTGTCTTGAACAAGTCTGGGGTGCAAGTCTTTTAATCAGATAAAAACATGTTTAACAAATGTATTCTGGCCATTTCAATCCGGTCATAGATGCAATTTCTCAACTCCATCCTTGAATCTCAAGTGGCTAATCGAAATGTAAACAATGTTTTTTCCGGGAAATGTGTTTATCTGGATATCCGCTGGACAGAAAATTAACTGTCAGTCCGATAGTCGATGGGTTGAGAGATGATAATTACACTGACCTTTCCTTTTCCAATGCAACAGGCAGAACATTCAGATCCATAGAGGAAGTTTGAATTCAAGCAGGCACTGTTATGGCTTTCGTAAGAGTAAAGCAAATTGAATCTGCATCTTATCATGAAGGTGTCACTTTTAGTGGTATTCTCCACGGTGAGAAGCATAGTTTGCCATTTCCTGTTAGATTTTCTGATAGTATGGGGAAAAAGGACACAACCCTATCAAAACCTGGAGCAGTGTGAGAATGACACTATAAATCTGATAACATGTTAAGTCAAGTAACAAAGGTCAAGTATCCAATAACAGTTCAGATCCTTCCAGCCAAGACAAATCCATCTTGGTCCTTTGCGATAGCCCCGCAGGTCGAGATTAAAATCTTCTTTTAAGATTACATTCTCTTCACACCTCCACATGTAGTTAAAGTCACGTTGGGAGGTGTGAGGCTACACCCAAACCACAAGCACGAGCGCACATAGTGTTCTGTACACAATGACAATGAATAATGCATCTTAGGTTTGTAATTCTGATCACATGCCAACTGCTATAAATACATGGACTGAATGAAAACATGTTTGGATGCTATTGCTCAAGTCACATCAGGAGGTATTCAAGGAAACACGTGTAAAATCCTCGTGACTGCACTCCATCTTCTATAGAGCTCTCAGATTGAAACAATTAATGATTATTTTGGAGAGTCCGTTCTTTGAGGCTTGCATAAAGCAGATATGAAGTCATGGTTGCAGAAAAAATCTCCTACAATGAGTGCTTCAGAGATTTAGCAATGCATGCCTTTAACATTGCTTGATTTAACATGGACAATAACAAAAAATGACGCAGCAAAACCAGAGATATTGTTTATTTTAGTCGACAAATTATTTAACCTGGCACCTTCATTTGCCAAACAGCGACTCATCTGCAATCTGGCAAGAGTTTCAGGTGTTTGGCCAGCTAATGTAGTCTGGAGCGGCTAACCACAACCAGAGATTGGGAGCTGGCTACAGAGGTCTGGTAAACTCACTGCTTTGTAAATCCACATTTCTGAACTTGTTTATTTTGGACGTGTTCTCTAATTATAACTTTTCAAATAAATCGCAATCAGCTGTAAAAATCACTGCCAATCTGGTCTCTGTCTCACCTCCGAGACATGTTTGAGTCCAACATTTCTCAGGTCTTCAAATCGGTCTTCAAAGACAGTGTTACCATTCATTTAAAAATGTACAGATACAGAAGAGAAAGGTATTGCCATTTTCACACCTGGAAATCACTGTTGAAAGGTTGTGTCTGCCAGTTGGCTTCAGAAACTAGAAACTATTTATAATCCTTTAATACAAACAAAACTTTATACGGCCTTAAATGTACTGCTAGCCTGGGGTAGATGAGGCAACACTGAACCACCAAGGTTTTACCTAGAAGGCGTAAACATCCAATTTCCCTTATCTTTAATCTTTGCCGCACAGGATTCTGGTGAGGCACAATATGTACTACGCCTCCTGACACACCCCTGTCTTTGCCAGTTATTGTTTATGCCACACACACTCACATTTCCGGAGCTGTTAAAGTCGCACTTATCGTGTTAACCGCATTGCACGTAAACAGAAGATCTCATTAACCTTTTGTTCACCAGTAATAAAAGGGCTTAAAGGTCCCCTATCATAGTGTTTTTCATCAATATATTATAGGTCTCAGATATATACAAAACAAGTCTCTGAAGTGTTTGGCTGAAACACCAAACAGATAATTGCAGCATTACCCATAATCCCCTCTGTTTCAGCCCTGTTCAGACAGGTTTTTATAGAAATGGATCAGGACAAAAAGAGAGAGAATCTTTGTTCCTGAGACTTTCAGAGTCTCTTTCCACAGAGGGCACACATGTTGATGTAGAAGAGACATGAAAAGGTGGATTTTGCATAATAGGTGACCTTTAAGGAAAGGAATAGACTTCAGCAGACTGACCTCCTCGGACGCCCTCCAGAGGGTAGAAGAAGGCCACGAGCAGGTTCATGAGGACAGCCAGGTTGAAGGAGATGCTGCTCCAGAAGGACATGTTCCTGGAGCACCAGTACAGGATGGGCTGAGCTGGAGAAGGGTGTTGAATTTCACACAGTCATTATCAGTGCAATACACCAAGAATAATGTATCTAATAACGTCACAGGAATTAGCAGTAAATCACACGACTGATCTGAGTTTCACACCACAACATAAATAATTTCTTAGTCCTTTCAGTCAAATGGTTTTATACTTGATATTTTCTTTCATGATTTGCTTCAACTGTCAGTCATGTTTCTGATCAGCTACACTACATATTTTCCATCTTTTATCAGCTAGACAAAGTTGAGTGCAGATTAATTTGATAGGAAAAAAAAGCATTACATTTGTGGTGAAATACAATAATCAAACGGAATCAGAAGAAGTCTGCATGGTGGCTTTCTCAGCAGCTGTAAACAAAATAATTCACTTCTTTGTCATCTACTTAAGTACACACAAACAACTGTCATGCACATTTCACACACGCCAAACACTTTCCACACGCACACACAGCCTACTCAGAGCTTGGTCAGGAGATCAGTATCGCACCAACGCTATTTTGAGCTGTTTATGACTGTTTATGAGAAAAGAAGAACTGCCGGGGGGGACTTTTAGCCACCAAAGTCACTACATTCATCACAAGTGCTTAGCAGCAGCGCTACTGCCGTGATGATTCATTTAGACTGAGGAGAGAGGTGATGATCGTTGTCACGTGCAATCAATGCAATCCGTGCAATATATACAGTCTATGGTGCAATCACATTATACACAAACTCAGGGCTCTCAAGTTTTGAACAGAGTGCAGAGAGAGATTTTGGCAGCGGTGTTTGGTAATCCAACTTCTGGCTCCCCTCAAAGTTCCCATGAAGCCCTCTGTATCGCGAAGGGTCAACGAGGGGGGGGGGGGGGGTGCTAGTGGGTACAAGTCTAGTTTGTTTACAAAATTGCGGCGGTACCCTGGAGAGAAATCTCTGCGTGAGAAATACAAGGTGTGGCGTGTGAATGGCGTGTGAGCGTGTGAATGGAGTGAAATGCGTGTGTGAGACTTGAGAGATCTGCAAACTGTCCTCCTTCAGGCCTGACCACGGGACGAGCCACAACACACGGCTACTTCACAGCAGTAACTGACAGAATCAACAAGGGGTGCAAGGCTCTAAGAAAAACTCAACATAGAGTTTAGTCCTGTGCGACTGTACTATTCAAAAGGGTATTGAGAAAACGAATGCTTAGTTTAAAAGGTAGAAGACATATGATATTCCTCGTATACATTTTGAGAAGCTACAAGCTGCAAAAGCTCCTTTCCGGTCCTGAGGAAAAGTTAAATCTGAAATAGGGTACACTGAGACAATGATCCGGACAAGATATCATGCTTTCTTCCGTTTGAAAAAGCCACACAACCTCCACGAATAACACCAAGTTAAACAATGCAACCTTTAAATGTTGACTTTATTAACATAGTTAGCTAAAATAAATAATAGTTAGCAGTACTAACCTTATGAGTTTGGGTAAGTTAGCTAGCTATGCTAATGGCGTTAGCAAAAATAAATGATGGTTAAAAGCTTAAATAATTACATTTAGCTTTTTGACATTGTTTTGCTTGTTGTTGATGTCCTGAAAATAGCAATAGTTTGCTTACAACATCAGCTTAGCTAGGTAACGCTAGCAAAGTCTTAGGGTTAGTACAAGTGATTGGTTGCTTGATATAACATTAACTAAATGTATACGTTATAATTACATCAAATATTATGGAGGTTGTTTGGTGTGTGTTACAATGTATTAGTTATATGCTCTGTTGGCAAGGTAGGGCAATACCTTGTCAATCTGGGGGTTTCCCCCTGAACACACATGATAACACACATGATAACACACATGATTTCCCACCATGGGTCCCATTGATGGAGATGGGTTCAGCGTGGGACAGGGTCTGAGCCTGGAGCTCTGCAGCACGATGCTATAATCTTTTTTTGGATCATCTGAACAGTTTCTCCTGTCTTATGTTGCCGATCCCTCGCATGCTGACATGGGAGCCCGTTTCCACTGAACTGCTTTGATGTTTCCTCAGTAAGGTTGAGCCTGCATGAGCTTTAAAAGTAAAAGATATGAAACTAATCATGACCTCAAACTGTCAGGTGGATGAAACAGATTGACCTATTAATCCTACTAAATTACAAATCGTAAGAACATCAAGAGTGAATCCTGATTCTCACCTGTCATTTTACAGCTATCTTTCCTGCCAAGGATTAATGTTGACTGTCCTAATTTTGCTTATCATAAGAGAGGAATACAAATAAAAAACGTCTATATCGTCCCCCAGACAAAACAAAGCATTCTACACGTGTGACCTCTTTACACCAGTTTATCGATGCTCTACTGTTTTCAGCTCTAAATTCCCTTTATGAAGTGGCTAAAGACTAAAATGAGGGATTATGTAAAGGTTAATACTATACTACTTAACCCTGTCCAAAAACAATTAATTTGCCTTTACATATGTTTCCAGAATTACAAAAATAAAAGGAACCTAACAGTCATATCAGAATACAGAAACTATATGTTAATTACAAAGATGAGACAAACTTGTGAATGGGCTTGAAACAAAAGACGGTTTGTGTACCGACCCCAACTACCGTGTTCATCGTCCACTAAATCACACTCAAACACATCATTCTCTCCTGGCTGAATAAAACATCTCTATAGAAAATATGTTGTCATGCAATCATGCCTTACATTAACCAACATTGTTACAGGTGTCACAGTAATCTATATAAAGGTTCTTATCAAGGTGTACATGCTCTATCCACTTCCAGGGTTCAGAGGTAAGGGATCAGAGTGAAGCCCCTTTCTCACATTTTACAATTGATTGTGGTTTAGAGAAATGTTATAATCCTGTTTGCTCATAATGTAAAAGCATTACAGACGGATTAGGCTTCGGTCGGCAGCGATGACGCAATCGGCAACCATTTGAAAAAACACAAACACAAAGGCAGCCTCGATGACAGATTTCTAGTTAACTTTAAACCAGGTGATGATGAATAGTTATACATTATTATTATTATTAGTTAACATTTTTGAAGTCAAGTCAAGTTTTGGCCGTAGAAATCGTCTTTTGTTGATTTATGCAGCTTAACCCTGAGATTGTTCTGGTTTGTACAACTGACACGTGAAATCAAACGTGTGAGACCTGAGGGCGTATCATCTGAATGCATGATTTGTTTTTTTCATCATATTTTGAGAACCCGGTGAGCCGAGCACTGTGCGGGTGTTATTTTTGCCGTGTGATCTTTATCAAGGTTTTCCGTGGTTCTCTCAATGTTTACGCCACAGAAATAGAAGTAAAATGCCTGAGCTTTCTAATAACGAGTCTCCACTGCAGAAATAGTTTTCATTGGTGGCTAAAGCATTTTTATCTAATGATCACATGAGAGGTGTGGAGGAAGTTTGGGACACGTTACTAAACCTTGAGTTGCCAAATTGCCAAAGTGACATCAGGGGAATTCTGACTCCTCTTCCTCTTCACACAAGAATCCAAGGTCTTATGGGGTGAGTCATTTATTTACAAAGATCAAAAGTGGAGGAAGAACTTAGATATATTTCGAAAGTAAAAGCAATAATAACACAGTGTAGAAATACTGGTTACTAATGGGCTGTTTTAAAAGTTCAAAAATCAACTAAAGTAAAACAAATTATGATATGAATCTGCAAATAGTAAGTCAATGATGATTGATCTTATCCCTAATTGTATTATCTGTGTGAATCTATGCTGTTTTTCATCCTTACCCTGTTGCTGTTAAACTACAGAATCATCTTACTTTAAAGGTGGGGTAGGTAATGTTGGAGAAACCAGCTCGAGTGCGCTAGAATTTGAAAATACACAGCCGGAACAAATCTGCCACTTCCTTACAGAGCCCTTCCTCCAACACACACGAACACGCACATGACCAATGAGGGCACGAGATAAGTTTGTGCACAGATGGAAGGCTGACAGGCAGGTAGGCCATCCAGTTACTTTAGCCGGGCCGGCTCAGATGATTGGTCGTGCTTTTTACAGCGCTACGGCTTCCACAGATGAATTTTTTTATGGATTTTTTGTCAAAGCACTTCAGATATTCATTGTCTACCCCACCTTTAAATGTACAATATTTGATAGTAAATTGTGGAGAAGAAGTATATATTGCTATAAAATGGAAAAACTGAAGTATTTTGAAACTGCACTTGATTACTGTACTTGAGTCAATGTAGTAAGTTACTTTCCAGCACTGCAAATGATCATCTTGTGGGTTCTTTTTTCCTCTAACCTAATATTTATATATGTGAAAGAGCCTTTTGGAAGAGGGGGTTCCTGGAGGGATGCAACAGGACAGCATGTAAACCAGGAAACTACAGGACATAAAGAGTTGAGGAAATATACGCACAGGGAACCGTGTTTGCGTCTCCAGTTGCCTCTTGGGTGCCTCGCAGCTTCTTCTGCCAATTCATCTCATTGAAGAGATCCTCGGCGCTCAGGAAGAAGTCATTGATCTTACTGCCTTGCTCGTCGCGCTCCGTGGTGTAGTAAACACGCAGCTTGGACTCGTTTGTGAGGAACTCGCAGATGTTTGGCACGGGGAACACTATCTGCTCCATGGTGCGATCCAGACGGACAATCTGCAGCAAACCACAGAAACAGACAACAAACACACACTCTCTGAGACCAAAAGGTTATGAACACGTACCGTTCTCTTTAAAAACACGTCTTTACAGATCGTTTATTCAACAGATCTTCCTTATTATTGTCACATACTGTACTTTACAAACCAAATAGAAGCACTGTTTCCTTTAGATGGAGCCTGATAAACTGTGCAAACAACGAAGGAACGGAACAGTGTCAACAGTCAGCATTCCACCTTTCAAGGAAAGCATGAAAACATTCCAAAGGTAGATGGTGGACAGCACTTATGGCATTTTGAGGCCTGTACTACGAAGCCGGATTTTCGCTTAGCGAGGTAACTCAGGGTTAACTCTGGGTTTCCGGTCCTACGACGCTGGTTCACTTCTTAGCGGGCTAGATGCGCACACCACTACGAATAGGGCGTGCCCACGCTCTTGTTCGGCCCGACTCCCATTTACTGCCGATTTCGGGCCGGTGTATCTGGGCAGGATAAGAGATCAACTCAGTGAAAGCACTGCCTGCTGACCAATCAGAGCTCAGTGTGCAGAGTTTAAAGCGATCAAGTCATATTACAGGAGAAAGGAAATACAGAAAAACTGCCGTTGCAGGAAAGACGGCCGGCAAAAATCACCGACTGTGTGAACGTGAACATTAATAGAATATCACCTCCCATCTTCAGAGCAATCTGACTATTATAACATTAGCGTTAAGAAAGCTTACTTAAATATCTGCCACAACACAAGTAACCGGATCAGAGTAACATTACGTACAGTCCGCGGCATCTTAGCGAGATCGCGTTTGTTTTGTTAGTTAAGCCAGATAACTCAAAACATATCCAGGGTATGTTGAACTGGATTCGTAGTACAGGCCTTAGTCCAACAAACACCTCCTGTCTCCTGTCAATGCAAAAACATGTAGCAATTCCCCGCAGCTGACGTCCTACAATTGATCTCACATAGTGGGCAGATAATTGCAGGGCGGCGTTTCTATTTTACTTTGGAGTGAGATTCAGATACGGTGTAGTCGGTGCATTTTTATAAGACTTGGCATTCGGGTTGACACTCCTATTGGGAGGGGTTTCTGTCGTGTTGCTCTGTTTTGTTTTTGTGGGTTTGAACTTTGAGCAGTATGATTAACAAGGGAAGTGTGGCGAGAGAGTTGAGAGTTGGCTGCCCTGCAATAGCAACATTTTAATAATTTTTCAGTAAACCTTTACAATTTAGAAAGTGCTCAAGTCTGAGGGAGCTTGCTGATATATATTCTTTTTTTTCCTATGGATGTGCGGCATTGGAGCTTGTAGAAATGTCAATGTTTCACAAGAATTGGTAGCTGACAATTTTGATTCTTTTTCAGTAACACTTCAAAGTAAACAAGTACTAGGAAAGACAGCAGGACCTCGTAAACAGCACAGTACACTACAGTTCAGGCACAGTCCTGTCCACTGACCTCAATCTGTGCCGTGTGTTTTGAGTAGAACTCCAGGGCCTCGTCGCCCTCTCCGTACGTTCCCCCCGGCTTCAGCATCGCCTGCAGCTCCTTGTTGTGACGCGCCAACTGAAAAGACAAGAAACAGCATTATTATTATATTATGCGCCGCTTTCCCCCTTCTACTCCAGTCGGACTCAGATGCACTTTTCCTTGTACATGTGATGATTTGGTGTTGTTGTTTGTTGTTGTTTCTTTCCGTTAACTGTCAAGTGGGAACTAAGTATTTTTTTGTACGTTTTTGTGTTTCTCTTATTTTCCTACGATACTGTTATGATTGGCTGTGAATAAGAAAATACGAAGGACAGACCATCTATTTCTATTTATAATTATTATTTTCTTCTCCCTGCTCCTTTTCGGGTATGGTGTGTTTATAGAGACATGTTTTGTAAATAGTTATACATTAAGTTGTGCCAGGGGCGGATCTACGGGGGGAAAGGGGGGGCATGTGTGTTTTTTTTTTGTATTCTCCATATCATCCCTTATACTCTGAGGGGATCCCCTTCGTAGGTGGAACGTCCGACGGCCTCTGTTGGCGACGGAGAGACGTCGCCACCTGCGGCGACGGACACACTTGCGCGAGACGTAAATTACCGTCCCGGCATCGACGCAAAAATTTAATATAATTTACTAGGTGAAAATAATATTAATTGACGAACAAAAGCACGAACTCTTCGAACACCTGTATCACATGCAAACTAAAGATGTTCATTCAAAATCCCTGTGTTTCAATCCCCCATTCGACCCCCCCGTTCCGAGATGTCACCCCCNCTCTTTGTTGGTGTTTCCTCTCAGTTTGTCGACATCTTTGTTGTTTTGCCCCTTTTAAAGACACCATGAGTCTATGTGTTGTTTGTTGTAGCTACAGTCGCTCGTTCTTATCTTTCTTTCTGGTCATTTTGTGTCTCTTTGTAGTCTCTTCATGTTTCGTCTTAGTCGTTTCATCTCTCACTGTAGTCATGTTTTGTCTCTCTTTGAAGTTGGTTTAATTTTTTTTATTCGTATGTTTTCGTTTATCTGTTTTCCCGTTCCTGGCTGGAAAGTTATCCCTGATACTTACAGCCCCTTGGCCTCTGCCCGGACCCTTTTAGTAATCCATCCATGAAGACCTTGTTCTCACACATGTATGTACTGAAATGTAGAATCCTATATATATATATATAATTACTGTCAGGGAAATATCATTGTGTTTTATTAAAAAGTCTCGTTTATTTAGAACCCAACAAAACAGAAAATTGGGCTTTGTGACCTGATACTTCAGGAAGTCTCAAAAACAGATGCTTCCAGGATATGTGAAGGATAACAAGAATACACACTGTCACGAAACCTCCATGTAAGACTCAGAAATGTATTTGCATGATGTCTCACGCACCAGCTCTTTGGGCCTCATGTTGTACAGGATCCTCTCTGCGTTCTCGCTGTCATGGCGACTCTCCATAATTGCAAGAAGGAGCTTGGAGGCATTATTCTAGGAAAAGATGAGAGCGCAGATAAGAGCACGAACAGAATCAGGTTCATTTATGTTCTAACAGGGGAATACATTCATCACCATTAAAGACGGAAATCTAATACGTAAATATTCATACTTTTCCCTGTGGGCTTGTTATTTAATTCCTAATGGATTACTTAGTTGATCATGTGTTGAAATAAAATATTTGGCAGACTTTATTTATGTCAACACCGTTTCATTTCCTGTAATTACTTGATCATATCTCGAGAATTATGTTTCCAGTAATGTAACTGCCCAATTCAATGATTCATTTCTCCATTTAAATGTCACTTTTGATATTCGAAACTCTCACTAATTTTAAGCAAATCAAAAAGTGTTTTTAGAAGAAATATCTCAAGAGACTAAACATTTTTTTCTGTGTAACATTTTTGAAGTGTTTATCCCCCCCCCCCCTTTAATCAATAATGACTCACTTTGAGCTCCAGCACCAGATCCATCCTCTTCTTGCCGAGGGGGTTGATGTCATTGAGGATGAGAGCGATGATTATGTCAATGCCGTTGCATTCATGAGTGGCAATGCAGTTCTGAGGAAGAAGGAAAACAAGTTCAAATGTGGACTGAAAAAGTTTTATTAAAGGGGCCCGGTTATGCTTATCTTCAGGTTGATGTTTGTATCTCTACTGTGACATAAATAAATAAACTCCCCTGTTCTTGGGATTTTAGCCTTTGCCGACCATTTACATGCACACAAACCTATATAACACACTACAATTAAGGGAAAACCCCCAAAAGCATTACAGGGCCAGGAGTCACATTGACTTCTGTTTTTAGACAGTAAACACAATCTGTATTTTATTTACCTAAAGCTCGAAATCTTAAAGTGTTTAGCTTTTCAGAATTTGAATATCTATCAGACGATTATATATTTATTAAACATTCCTTTTCCCCAAAAGAGCTGCAGTCATGAATATTTGGCTTTGAAGTCACCAGACAGATATTTTGCCAACAATATGCCACACCCCAAAATAAAAAATGGGTTGTGGCCACAAAATAGTTTGGGGCAAATTAGCTGGTACCATTTGACAAAGACACTTAACAGAGTTTAAAGTAATGCTATTCGAGACATGAGAAAGTGGATTTTGCATAATAGGTGACCATTAAATTTTAATCAGCTAAAGTACAAGTACCGTAATTTTCGGAATATAAGGCGCACCTGAATATAAGCCGCAGCAGCGGCATACCACTCTCGGTTCCACTTTTACTTTTGCGCGCTACCTGTTTTCCGGCCTCCAGCTTTTCCTGCTGGAACCCGCCGCTTAAAGGTGGGGGTCCGCGGACCGGCCATAGAGCCCATAGAGTTAAAGGTGTTGGCCGTTAGCTGTAAAAATCCATAGATTAGCCGCACCGTTATATAAACCGCAGCGTCGAAAAATAGGGAAAAAGGCGCGGCTTATAGTCCGAAAATTACGGTACCTCAATATTGTACAGTACTCGAGTAAATGTACTTTATTATATTCCACCAATGGTTAAGGGCGTCTGTGTTTGCTTGCTTGTTATTTTGTATATATTGATTGTTGTGCTTTTATCTTAATGTGTGCATGTGTATAAATGTGTCTGTTGATTGTGTATATATATATCAACAT